GGCCGCCCGTGCTCACCAGGAGGGCCTGTGGTCACACACTGGCAGAGACAGACGGGAGACTGGCCGCCATCACATGGGAAAAGCCCTGCTTCCGGAGGGGCAGCCTGACCGTGCAGGGGCGCAGCTGGACAAGAACACGACTAGCCAGAGCTGAAACTGGTCTGAACCCCTTCAGGGAAACAACACTATCTGAGGCCCAGCACCGTCACCATCCCTTGGTGCATATGATTTAGAGTTTTTAAAAAGCATTCATCCAGCCCCCGCTACGTGCAAAGACACCGAGCCTCCGGCTGGCCTGGAGCCAGAGTCCTGCCATCTGGACAGGAAGGAGGGAGAAAACCCAGGGCTCAGCCCGCAGAACGAGCAACGGGAGGGGCCACTCTCCAGGACGTGGAGCTGCCTGGGCCCAAAGGGGCAGCAGGGTGGCCCGCACTGAGGCCTGCTTCCTGGAGCGTCGCCTTTGCCTGGACAGAGGGGTGTGCAGCAGTAAGTGTGGCCATTTCAAGGAGTGGATTACAATACTTAAGTCCACTTTGAATAAAGCATGGGAGTGAAAACCACTGGCTCTATCTCCGTGCAGCTGCCGCTGCTGCCCAGCTCCCATCGCCACCCGGGGCGTTAAGACGGGGCTGTTCAGGTGATGACCTGGACCCTCTCTTCTCCTGCCACACCTGTGCTGGGTCACCATGCCTCCCCAGGACTCACCTGCGAGATGGAAACAAACACACCCCGGCTCAGACACCACACACTGGACTCTTGGACGCCTGCCCGCTCTGCCACACTGCACTGGGACCTCGTGTTCAGCACCGCTGAGAAGGGGTCTGTCACCTCCAGGGCATCCCTTCTTACCCCTAAAACAACTTGCTCCCACCTCAGAGAGTGACTCCCCACCCAGCCAGCTGCCCGAGGCAGAACTGTCCTCACCTCCCTGAGCATGCAGTCCAATCATCAGCCGAGACCGGCTGATTCTGTTGCCTCAAATCTAAATCCCCGTCACCCCACCCCGCTGGGGACAGGGTGCGCCTTCTGGCGCTAGCGAGAGGCTCTCGTCAGGTTCCAGCTAAGTGAGCCCCTCTCACGCTTCGCAATTCAAGTCTCATCTCACATATAGGGGATCTGGGCTCGCCAGGTCCCACACCACCAAGAAATTTGCAAATGGACAAAGTGTAAAATTAATGATCTTTATATGCAAACACATACTGATTCATCAACGTATTTTTAAAAAGTTTTTATTTACAGTATTGCCAGCACAGCGGATTACTGCACAGCGCGGGAAAGCGTGAGGATGCTCCCTAAGCTCATGACAAGAGCTCCATGACGTGCTGTCCACTCCAGGATGGACAAAAGGCTGTGCCATATGCGATCATTCTCTAAGAAAGAGGGCCGAGTGCATGCGTGGGTGTGCGCCCGTGCACGCGCACACACGCACACACACACACACACGACAGAAAAGTAAACCAAAACAGAAAGACGGGTTACTTATGGAAGAAGGAAGAAAAACAGTGGAAAGCCAGAAATGGAAGCTAGGCTTTTGAGAATATTTACTTATTGAGAAAGCATGTTTTGACCTGCAATCACAGATGTTTTATAACCTTAAAACACAAAACGTAAAAGGAAGGTATTCCTTAAAATGGAAATGAAAATGAAATCAATCTAACTGTCCAGTGAGTTGCGGGCTGTGGTGGCAAATGAGGCACAGGGCCGGGCAGGGGGCAGGGACGCTGGCGCGAGGAGGGGGTGCCGGGAGGCAGGCAGCAACAGACCCTTTGCCCAGCACTCTCCGCGCTCCCCCGGCTTCTTCTCCGGTCTCCCTTGCATTTGCTCTCTGGCCCGGCGTCCACACCTGCAGGCGCGCGAGCCCGTGCCCTCCGGCTTCCCGGCCGGTGTCCACAGTCATGGGTGCGCGAGCCCTGTGCTCACGCCCTGCGCGCTTTCCCCAGCGATGTGCTGTCACGTGCGGGCCGCGAGACCAGGAAGTGAGGCCGCGGGGCCAGCGGCGGGAGGCAGGGAAGAGCCTGAGCAACTCCATTTTCCCTCAAGGCACACTGACAAACTGGCGCAGGGACTTGAAACTTAATTATGTGGCAGGAAATCACTAGGCTATGCTCCAAGGACAGACAGAACTGCAGAAACTCTTAGCTGCTTTCAGTAACCACATCGCTGGCGCTGCTCTAAAACCCACATACTTCACAGGTTAAAACACGGAGGTGATGATGCTGAGACTATTAGGAACCAAGATATTCCACTTGAGAGAAAAGACCTATCAATCTTGAAACCAGAGACCCCCCCCACCGACCCACCCGGTCGCCAGCACTTGGCCCCAGAAGCTGCTTGGGGACAGCGCAGGCGGCAGCAGGGGGTGAGCCTCTCCCCACCCGTCACCAGGGGCTCAGGAGGCAGGCAGGGGCCCCAGCAGCGATGGCTGACGGCAGTGGTTCCCCTTTCGCACCCGGGGCTGGCAGAGAGAAGTGGGGCCCCGCAGGCCAGCTCAGCACAAGGCTCCTCCAGTTGCAGGCCTTGGAGAGGCTGTGGAGGTGCCTGAGCATGGAGGGGCCATCAGGTGCGCGTGGTGAGTGCTTGGGAGCTCATGGCCCAGACACGCGAGGGCCCTGAAAAGGGGTACAGCAGGCCCGAGCCAGCCTGGGGCTCTGACCTGGCCCCAGAGGAGAGACGCTCAGACCCTGCTCCTGCCCTCCCAGGAACAAAGCAGCAGCAGCAGCCACCGCCGACCTGGCAAAGACACTGAAGAGCTTCTCCGAGGCCAGGGCTGCACCTGTGCCAGCCTGCCCTGCCTCTGCCTGAGAGGGGCAGCGGGCCTCGGGCCTGGCGTCTCAGCCAATGGCTGGTGGTGAGGGCCAGCCTCTCACAGAGCTGTGTGCCGCTCAGCACTGCTGACGGGTGACCAGCGCTCTATGTCCGGGTCACCTATGGGGGCTATCCTCGTCCGGCACCGCCTCCCCTCTGCTACCTGTTGCTGTCTGGCCCAGTGTCCACTGTCCGTCCCGGCCCTCAGACTGTGGCTGGGGCTGCTGCAGGGAGTGTCGCCTCTCCCCCCTCCTCAATGCGAGCACCTCCAGCTGCTGTGAGTTGGGTCCCGGCCGCCACTCCAGGCCCTCGTAGGCAGGATGGCGCCATTTTGGCCTTTTGTTAAAGCCTCATGGAAGCTGTGGACACTCTCTGGGGTGAGGTGGCCAGTGGTCTGGAGGACTCCTGGTTTCCCCTGTTTGTTAAATAAACCCCACCGCTGTTGTTCCCTGGTCTTGCAATTGTGCACGTGACCAGCCCTCCACTGGGCACTGCCCTTCTGACCTGCGACATTCCCTACGATACTCTCAACGTGAAATCAAAGAGGTAAAAACCATACACTCCTACATTAGAAATACAAACAGTGGGCCTCCCCTGGTGGCACAGGGGGTTGAGCGCCGCACTATGAAGCTGTCCGCAGTCTCTGCAGAGCGGGTTTGATCCCGGCCGGCCGGCCGGCGAGGATCCTACATGGCATGGCAGACCTCTCCCGTCCTGCCTGCTGCTCCCCTCAGCAGTGTGTTATGTCAGTTTGTCTGTTCTGCTCCCCGCTCTGTTTCTGGTGAATCCTCTCACCCTCCCGCACATCTGGCCTGTACCCTGGTTCTTGTATAAATGAATAAATAAATCTTCTAAAAAAAGAAAATACAAACAGTATGCGTTCATGATGCACGTTTACCTAAGAAGTCTATCTCCTCGCTGTGCACCATAAAAGGACTGGACACACCATCAGCTTGGGCAGTGAGCAGCCCCGACACCCGGACACCACTTCCACCGAGGGAACGGAGCTGCTCAGAGAACGGAAATCCCATAGCCGGGAGCAGGGACAGGACAAAATCAGCCAGGCCGCCATACCACCCACATAGCAAGGACAGGAAGACAAAGCCCACACCAAAGGCTGGCGTCAGCCCCAAGAGGGACCTGGCGGAGAATGACGGCGACACGGCTAACATGCATGTCTAGATTCGCGTGCTTGTAACGGGACAGCGCAGTCACGGGCACCGGTGGAGAAGCTCTGGGGCCGCCTCGTCTTCTGAGGCTGATGAACCAACATCTCGCAGCATCTCCTACCCCAGCTGCCCCCGGCAGTGAGCAAGGGCAGGTTCTGGAGGCGGCCGGCTCACAAGGCAGAACACACGCTGCAGCCGCTGGACCCTGAGTGCAGGCCCTGACCCCCGGGCCCAGCCTCCAGACCCACCTGCCACTTCACAGCCAGACAGGCAGGGGGACGCGTCTGGTGGGACCCCCCTCACAGTGAGACCGGAAAAGCCTCTGACTACAGGACAGTCAGCTTGGATTTTCCAGTGAGGAAAAAGGGGCTGTGAGGAGTGACGGTGAAGAAAGGAGAGCTAAGGGACAAGCAGCTGATGGCAACTGTCTGGTGTCGCTCCCAGAAACTAAAAAACACCGTTGAGGGAAACTGAGCAGCACCGTCTTATAAACAAAATCTTCTACACGAATTTCTCCAAGTGAGCTATGTATTAAATCTCACTTTGAACGCCCACATTTCAACCGCACTTTTACATTCTAACTTGTTACAGAGTTCTAACATACTGAGTATAAAACGCACCCAGTCACAAGTGAGAGCTTAAAATAGAGGGTATTTCGTTTCCTTTCACACTCCCGGAGAAAGATGGCCAAGGAGCAAAGGCCATGGCAGGCGGTGAGGTGGCCCCGCCACACCCCGCGCAGGGGCGCCCTCCTTGGCGGGGGCCAGGAGGCCAAGACTCCTGTGCCAGCAGCTGTGTCTATTATTCTTAAAGTTTAATGCTGGCTCTCCAAAATGAAAAGTAAAAATGAGACCAGAATACAGAGGCCTGCCTGGAGGCAAGACTCAAATCCACCTACTGGAGAATGAATCTGCTACACAAAAATGAGTAAATTCAGGAGGTTTTCGAACTTTATTTTTATGCAAAGCGAACAGCAAAAGCCTGGTGAAAGCAACCTGTGGGAACTGACCTCCTCGGGGGACGTACCTGTGTGTCCTAAGCTGCCAGAAGACACAGCGATGCCGGGGGGGCTCCAACAGGGAGAGCGGGGACGGGTCAGCCCCACCCCAGGGTGCAGAGGGCCCTCACCTAGAACACAAGAACAGCACGTGGTCAGTTCCCTCCTGGGAGACTTTAAAAGCTTTCAAAAAACCAATATCACAAACAGAAATGTGTATGAAATGCTCACACAAGAAGTTTAAGTAAGACACCTAAGCCTCTACGCAAGCGCGGGCTTTGGATTTCCTACATTTTTTGAGCTGGACACAAATTACAGTCTGGGCATTTTCTGATCATCTTCGAATCACTTTTATTAGAAGTGCCACAGTCTCAGCAAAGCAGCGGACAGGTACGTACAGGCTGACAAGGCCAAGCAATGAGGACCAGGGATCCCCGAGGCCCTGGTGGCCCCTTTGGTGTCCCAGATCCTCTCTTCCTCCTCCAAGTGATCGTCACCCTAGCTCTTTAAATTTTTATTTAGGGCCTCCCTGGTGGCACAAGGGGTTAAGACGCAACCTATGAAGCTGTCCGCAGCCACTGCAGCATGAGTTCAATGCCCGGCCAGGCAGCAACCCACATGGCGCAGGCAGACCTCTCCTGTCTCCCCGCTGCTCCCCCTCGGCAGTGAATTTCAGTCGATCTGTGTGTTCTGCTCCCCACTCTGTCTCTGGTGAATCCTCTCATCCCCCGCACCTCTGGCCTGTACCCCAGCTCTTGTATGCATAAATAAATATATCTTAAAAAAAAAATTTTCCATTTCTTACTTTTAGTAAGTTATATTTTTCAAGAAATTTGTCTGTATCATCTGTATTTTCAAATTTACTGACATTATGCAATTTCTAATAACATTTTATATTTTTAGAGTCTATTGAATCCATAGTGGTGCCCTGCCCTGCCCTGCCCTGGATTGTGCCTCCTTTTCCCCCTTCTGAGTCTCACCAAAAGTTTGTCAATTTTACTATATTTGAAGAACCAGTTTTTGGATTGGTTGATTTTTCCCAATAAATTTTCCATTTGATTAATTATGTTCACTCCCCCCGCTTAAGCTTTTTTTTTCTGTTATTCCTTTAATTTTTAATTAGAATAATGCTTAGTCTATTGATTTTCAGTCTTTCTACCTTTTTAAGGCTATAAATCTTTCTCTAGGTACAGCTTTGGCTGTATTGTACACATTTTGATATATAGTATTACCAGCTAAAAATCTTTTCTTGCTTCCTTTTTCAACTTTCAGGGATTTTTTTAAATTAATTTATTTATTTATACAAGCACTGGGTACAGTCAGAAGCGCGGGAGGGTGAGAGAATTCACCAGAGCCAGAGCGGGGAGCAGAACAGGCAGACTGACGAAGTACAATGCTGAGGGGAGCAGCGGGTGAGGCAGGAGAGGTCTGCGAACCATGTGGGACCCTCACCAGTGACCGGGGATCGAACTGGCGCTGCAGAGGCTGTGGGCAGCTTCACAGCCCAGCGCTCAACCGCTGCGTCACCGGGGAGGCCCAACTTTCAGGGATTTTTGTAATTATCTTTTTATCACTGAGATATAGCTTAATCTGACTGAGGTCTAAGATTATGATCTCTATTATACAATACTTTGAAAGGTATTGAGACTTGCCCTAGGCACAGCACTGGTCATATATGCCCCATATGTGTGCCTAGAAATAAAGTTTTTGGATGGAAATTTGCATGTATGTACATCAGACCAATGGTACTAATCCTTATTTAAACATCTTATAGATTTTTTTAGTCTACTTATTCTATCAATTTACTCAGACCTATGTTGAAATCTCCACTGCAATTATGTATTTGTCTATTTTTCTTTGTACTTATTGACATAAGTACATTCTTGTATATTCTTAAGTCACATTATTAGATTTAGAATCATTTTGATTTCCTGTTGGATTGATCCTTTTATCATCATATACTATGGCAGGACTACATGCTAACCAAAATCATTTCTTTGGCCTCCTGAGCACACAGCTACATTGTATTTTCCAGCCTCCCTGCAGTTAAGCTTGGTTATAAGACCTGGGCTGGCCCCATGGAATATAACCTGCCTTCCCTCTCCCCCAAATACAGAGGGTGCGCTGCAGTGTCCCCAGTCCCAGAAAGTGGCAGAGTCACAAGAAAGAAGCAACACCAATCCCTAAGTGATCATGTGGGAAGCAATCTGAGGACAAGAGCTTTGTGTGAGCAGCAAACCACCCTTTTATGGCAGGCTACTCAATGTCTTATTACAGGGCAAACTGTTTTGTCATATGAATGCAGTATTATTATCCATATGAAATGGCTTTCATATCAAGTACTGCTTTTTGCCTTAAAGTGTATTTTATCAGACACCTTACAATCTTTTTTTTAAATGATTTATTTTATTTATTTATGCATACAAGAACTGAGGTGTAGGCCAGAAGTGTGGAGGGGTAAGAGGATTCACTAAAGACAGAGTAGGGAGCAGAACAGGCCGATCCACTGAAATCCACTGCTGAGGGGAGCAGCGGGGAGACAGGAGAGGTCTGCTGTGCCCTGTGGGTGCAGCTCCCTGGCCGGGGATCAAACTCAGGCTACAGTGGCTGGCAATAGCTTGATAGCGCTGAGACTTTAACCCCTGTCAACCAGGGAGGCCCTGATACCTTACAATCTTGCTTTTGGTTAGTATCTGCATAGTTTATTTTTTCAGCATTTTATTTTCAACACTTCTTAATCCTTATGTTTTAAATGAAAACTCTTAAACAGAATATTTGATCTTTACTTTTTTTTTTTTTTTTTTGGTGAGACCCTCGCCGGCGGCCAGGGAATGAACCGGCGCTGCAGAGGCTGCAGGCAGCCTCGCAGCCCAGCGCTCAACTGCCGCACCACCAGGGGAGGCCCTACTTTTTTTTTTTTAAGATTTATTTATTTATTTATACAAGCACTGGGTACAGTCAGAAGCGCGGGAGGGTGAGAGGATTCACCAGAGCCAGAGCGGGGAGCAGAACAGGCAGAATGACGAAGTACACTGCTGAGGGGAGCAGCGGGTGGCAGGAGAGGTCTGTGTGCCATGTGGGAACCTCACCCGGTGGCTGGGGATCGAACCGGCGCTGCAAAAGCTGCGGGCAGCTTCGCAACCCAGCGCCCAACCGCTGCGCCACCAGGGAGGCCCATTTGATCTTTACTTTTAATTAGAACATTTAAAATCTATTACACTGAATTCAACTACTCATATTTAGGTTTAATTCTATTTTACCAGGAGCTTCCAATGTGCCTTCTGGATTGTTTGTTACTCTAGTAACCACTCCTTGTTAACCTGAAATTTACACATTACTTCTTTTTTTTTTTTATTTACACTTTTTTTTTTATAGAGGCGTGTTTTATTTATTTATTTGTTTGTTTGTTTTTTTTTGTTTGTACATGCACTGGGTACAGCCAGAAGCGCGGGAGGGTGAGAGAATTCACCAGAGCCAGAGCAGGGAGCAGAGCAGGCAGAAGGACCAAAGTACACTGCTGAGGGGAGCAGCGGGTGGCAAGAGAGGTCTGCGCACCATGCGGGACCCTCCTCTGGTGGCCGGGGAGCGGCCGGGGATCGAACAAGCGCCGCAGAGGCCGCGGGCGGCTTCGCAACCCAGCGCTCAACCGCTGCACCACCGGGGAGGCCCTACACATTACTTCTTTGAATAATTACTTTAGAAAATAAAATATGCAGGTTCTTACCAAAATCCAATGTTAGTATCTTTTCTCTTCTCTTGAACAGCATCCCATTTACCTATTTCCAAGTTAAATCCTCCTGTCGTGGATATACATGGTCATTACTGCTTTAAAACAAGAACCATTCTTTTTTCTTCTTTTTTTTTGAGGCACAGAATTATTCTTCCTTGTAGTCTCCTGAAGCTATCACGCCAGTCTTCCTGCTTTCGCTGCGGTGTTGAGAAGCCAAATGATCTGTCTCTTTGCAGGTGATATTTTTCCAATGACTTTAAGGTTTTCTCTTCTCACTGGTGTCCTGCCACTTCACCATCCCCTGGGTGTGGAGTTTTATTATCCTGTGAGTCATTTATTGAACATCTGAATCTGTGGTTTGGCACCTTTCATAGTTTCTGGAAAATCTTCGGTCATTATCTTTTCAAATATTGCGTCTGCATCCCCACCTTTCCCTCTTCACCTCAGAGCCCAGCCCCGTGGTGGCGGCCTCACTGCCCACCGCCCCCCTCGCCCCCCCCTTCCCTCTGCATTTCCTGGATTCCCAGCTCTGCTTCATCCTCATCTTTCTTTCTGCCCTATTGCTAGGGCGGCCTATAGTGAGTTTCCAGTGTCACGGGATCTTTCATTCCCCAGATACCTGGTCACCATGCCGTGTCCTTGTTAGATGTCCTGCGTGTGTCCTACCTGCCAAATTTATGGAGGTGTTTGGAGTGTATGTCAAATATTGCCTGGTAGTTTTCCTTTATGGTAGCTTTGGTTCTGATTTCAGGCTTTTGCAGGTGTCACAGAAATGTTCCTCTTCCACATTCTGAAAGTTTCTGTCAGGTGGGCATTCCATCTTCCCTAAGTACCGGACACAATTTACCAGTGAAGCCATTAGGGCCTGGAGTTTCTTTGAGGTCAGGATTGTAACTACACATTCAACTTGTTAATAGAAAGCCACCTAAGTGACTTATTACTTCTTGAGTGAGCTTTGGAATGCATGTCTTTCAAAATATTAGCTCATCTGTCATATTCATTGGCATAGTCATTCATGATACTCCCTATTATCCTTCAATGTCTGTGGGGTCTGCAGTGAAATTCTCTTCACATCCCTGGTGCCGGCAATTCATGTTTCTTTTTTCCCCCAGGGATAAGATTTTTCTGGATACATCTTCAATTTACCGGTTTACCTTCACACTCCAAACATAGTGACACCATCTTCACTTCTCCTCGTCCAGCCTTAGTATGTTGTCATTTACCCGCCTCTGTTCTCAATCCCACAACACGCTGTTGGTTCTTCTTTAATCAGTCAATTTTAAAAAGACAAAAAGTGAGAATATTTATCCCTCTACTGACCATTTCAGGTTCTCTTCGTTCCTGGCAGCTCGCCCCATCTACAGTCTCGTGGTGCGACTCTGCAGGCGATGAGCTCAGCTC